TGCCAACAAATGGAAATCCATTAAAACGGATCGAAGGAAAACTGCAAATGTCTTGTGCAATAATGCTTTGTTAAGGAATGTAACGGGTTTTCAGACCCCCTAGAAAATAGGGAATACAATTGGGAACCCATTGACTGACGTTCGACAAATGGGCAAAATGGTTTGCCCCGGTCTGTCACTTGGATTTACGAGCGAAATCGCAAGAGCCAAAGGATTAGGCGGCAAAAATATTGATAGGTTTCTCTGAAGCACATTTCTTCAAAATTGCCTATTTCTCGATGGCTACCATTTTGATTTAATCGTTGGTACATAGTAGTATATATTTTATTCCATGAAAATATGTGAGCGCCAGCCAAGGTTCGATACTCAAATCAAATTACCCCAAAAAATGTTTTCGGTTTGTTTCCCCATACTTTCGCGAATCTTGTTTGTTTGGCAACTTTTCCTATTTTCAGTTTGTTTGTTTGCCGTATTTATTCGTTATTATTGCTATTATTGTTATTATTATTGGCATATGGCTTGTCTGTCCGTATGACTGAGTGCAGCCACGGGAGAGTGTATAATTTCATTTATGTCCTGGCCCACCCACTCGCCATGTCCTTGTCCCTGTGTCCTTGCAGAATTCAGCCGGCAAATGTAAGAAGCGCAGCGCGGCAAAAAAGCATGGCGAAAAAGCAGAGGGAAAAGTTCCAAATGAAGCAGGACCATGTAAACTGGATAACATTTCAGCGGCAGCGGGTCCACCAATCCACGGATCCAAGGATCCGGGGATCCGGGGATCCGGGGATCCGGGCATCCAGGGATCAGGAATGGCGGGTGGAGTGAACAGGAGCAGGACTCGGCGATGAAGTTGCTACGGAAATTCGTTATTGTGTTACCACAGGCGATGTGTCTGTGTCCCAATGTCGCCCCATCCACCATCCGGCGTCCACATCCACATCCCCCTCCCCAGTTCCACAGTTCCTAATAACAACAGCTTACAGTGGGTTGAATGTGAGCGAAATAGTACAGCAAGCAGGCATATTTAATCGCATATATTTGGACAGGTAACTCCAGTGGAGTGAATTGTGCATTAAGTTTACAAGTAATAGAGTTCATAAGTAATAGAGGCCTTTTTTGTATTGTAAACTGCAGTGTTTTTTCCAACTATAAGATCCCAGAGCTGTGGCATTTCGCCACAGTGTAGCGACGCACGGCGCCGGGCACCTTTTTCCTTTTTCCGTATTCCTTTTCGCAGGAGCGACCTTTGCATGCACGACAATATTTTAATATGCAAAATTTCAAATACAACGGGCGCGCTCACACACACACACGCAGGAATACCAAGTCGCAGGACCTGCCTTTTGGTCAGGACGACAGACGACAGAGGTCCGTTGAAAGGGATGGAAATGGAGAATGGGGGAAGGGGGAGGGGGGAGGGGTTGGGGAGGTGTGTGCCAGTGGTATCCAATTCAAAAATTTCGCAAACCAACCGGGCGGAATCGGCAAGGGCGACAGAACGCCACGCGGACTGTTCGTCCTGTTCGTCCTGTTTCTTTCATTTTTATTTTCTCATTTCCTCTTCCGCTGGGCGGCGTCCACCGAAGCGCATCATCAACAAGGAGCACCCGCCCACACACACACACGCACGCACACACACACACTCACGCATGTGTGCAGAAAGCCCACACTGCACAAAAGTTATCCTACCAACAATGATTTCTTTTAGTTTATATGATATCATGCTTTTAGCCCATTTAAAAATATATTTTTATATTCTAGTATTTTTATAAAATATATTCGAGCGAATATTCAGCATTTACCCGATTCGAGAAGGCGAAAGCACTTTTTCCAGTGCAGCTGGTCTCGATTCGCTGGCCTGGCGGCATATTGCGGCGACACAGGAGATTCACTATTTGCCCGCTGGGTCGCCTTGCCTCTTGACCAGTTATCCTCTCCAGGACCGCTCCGCCATCAGGACCCCCCCCACACCCACACCCACACCCCCCGCTTGCACCCGCCCATGTGTCAGGCAGTCAATCAGAGGTCCTGCAGATCCTGATTTACGCAGGTGGGCTGCCATGGGCATTGTTGTGCTTGCGGCCAGGACATTTGACGTGGGACCCATATGTATCACGTATTTCATGTGCGTGTGTGCGTGCTTGTGTCCTCGTACACTATGTAACCACCTTTATTTACATAGGCATTGGGCCGTGGTGGATGGAAATCGGAGGTTTTTTGCGTGCCAGCCATAATGTGTTTGCCTGGACAAATATTTTGCGCCGTCTGTGGCTTAAGTTGGTCAATGGAGTGAAGTTGATCAACTTGGAGGACACAATTGTCTGCAATTGTGGATTTTTAAAGCGAACAAATCGAACTAAAGCGAACTTTAAATCGAGCTGGTAGCTACTATTCGAAATTGGGCGAGATATATTCTACACACATCATTTTGTAGATGAAATGTGAAATGTGGTTCAACCAAAGATCATAATATTATAATATTATTCTAGTGCCTTTGGTTCAACTCTGTTATAGTACTTATACAATTTTTGATGCGAGAATACCTTTTGCGCTCCACTGATGGCCTTTAATTGCTACGGGGCTACCAAATCGATTGGGCATTGTTCATCGCAGGTGGGAGATGCTCCTAAGGATGTGCGTTGGGGATCCTTGGGGATGGTGAAAGAACAACAAAGGCTCCCAGGGAAATCGCCAGCTTGCACTTGTCGCCTCGCAGAAGCGGCAAAGCAGCAAAGGATGTTCAGGATGCGATGGGCAGGGAGCAAATGGAGTGAGTGAGAGTGAGCAGGAGGAGCAGGAGGAGGAGCAGGAGCAGGAGCAGGAGTTGTCGGTCTGCCAAGGCGCTTGTCGCAGGACTCGCGGTGCCGTCGTTTCCGAATGATATGATGCGTGCCTCATGTGTATCAGTATGTGGCACACATACGCGCATACACATGCACTATATACTCGCATTAGATACATCCGTACGTATATCCATGCGCGATGTTCAGGTTGTTTTGTGGAGCGTGTGGCCGTGTTGTTGTTTTGACAACCGGCGAGACAAAAGGAGCAGGACACCAAGGACCATGGACCATGGACCATGGAGCGTGGAGCGTGGCAAGTGGTTGGCGGGAGCCGCTGGGAGCTGGGAAATATTTAACAGGAAGAAACCAATAAAACCTAATGATATGAAAAAATGCAATTTTCTGAAACTCGAACGAACGCACACAAACACACGCGAAAAACGAAAGGGGGAGCACACACACTACTAAAAATGGCACAGTGTTTCGTCCTTAAGTCTCGTTTACACTGGATCCCATGAAAAAGGTTTTCCAATTATCAAACACATTCGCTTTCCTTCACATTAGCGGTGTTATATCTACACATTGGTTTACAGTATAAAGTAGGTAGTGTACTTCATTTAGTGCAGATCAAATGAAACACCATTTTGCCATTTGAAACATGAGTTTATTTTTCGGTACAGCACTGCGGTATAAACTGGGCTTAACTTTGATTTTCCGCTTCGAAAATCACAAACATGCCGCGCAGCGGCTTGTGTCTTTGGCCATCGTGTCCTTTGGCCCACCGCCTCCTCAGCCCCCTTTTTTTTGGAGCTCCTCCTTCGATTGTCCCCCGCTGTCATATATGAAGTTCTGTTCGCGCTTGTGGATTTTATATTGGCGACTAGCAGCGAAAAAAATTGAACGCGAACTTGGCTTCAAAAGGAATTTTTGCGCGGAGGGGCTTTCCGTTTTGCGGACGGGGTTCCTCAAAATGATAGACAACGGCAAAGCATAAACATGGCACCCAACACTTGTCCACTGGCCTGGCAAATGGATTGGGAAAATGGTGTTCCATCCCCCTGCCCAGTGCGAGCATTACTATATACATAAATGACAATGTATTACCGCTAAACGCGGGCGGGCAGCGGCCAGAAGATAGCAGACATGTTAGCAATTTTCCAAAGTACTTAGTCAGCAACTTTTACCCCTTTTCGTGGCGCAGGGGAGTCCCCTCGCCCTCGCCCTCGCCCGCGCCCTTTGACCTCTCCGGGGTGACCACACACATCCGAGCAAAAGGCGCCCACGCATGGCTCACTGGAGATACCGGGGGTTATGTTATGTCCTGTCACTGGCTACAAGGATAGCGATAAGCCAGCCCCACCCACAGCGCCCACCACCCACCAACCACCACCCACCACCCACCGGCCCCCTTTTCGCCAGCCATCCTGAGGAAAACATTTTTCGCCAGCGGTTCGCATTTATTTATTTCCATTTTTTAACACATATTAAGCCGCAAAAATATGGCCTGTCCTTTCCACTTTTTCTCTTTTTTTTTTTGGGTGGTGGTCCAGAATTTGCAAAAGACGCAAAAAGTGGGCAAAGCTACACTTGAGAAAATAATAAGGCACTCATTCTTCATATAAATAGTGCAGAGTGCAAATGTTGTACATATTTCGGCAGCATTTTGTGCGTCTTTCAAAGAAGTGATTAGCCAAGCAGTGATTTAATAAAGTTTAATAGAGAGCTGCCGCGTTTTCGCGCCGTGTAAAACGAGAGTGGCAAATGGGAACTGGGAATATTCTAGCTGGTCGTCTAATTCAGTCGATAGCCATTCATTGGAAACGCTTGATTGATGCTCTGGCCTTGTCTGCAGTTCGTTGATAAGCGGCAAAGACTATGCGGCGCTTAACCCCACACAGCCCCTGTCCACCATCCACCCCCTGCCCACGGAAATGTAACCAGGCTGATTTTTGCAATTGCCTGCGATTCAATTTTTCACTTTACATATTTCATGGATTAGACGTCTTCAACGGTGGGTATTTGCTATTTGGTATTTCTCATTTTTTGGCGAGGTCATGGGGCGGATGTGGTTGCGATGGATATGGAAACTAGCCTAAATGGAAATGCGTTTGCCGGGGGTTAAGCCTTGGGATAGCCGCCTTTGAAGATGGCCTCCTTTCAGGGTTTCCACCTTGCCTTCTCGTATTTTTAAAAGTAATAAATGCATATTGTTGTATCAGGAGGACGTGCCCACTTATATATTATATACATTAAAACCGCATTAATTTATACTCTTAACCCATTCCCATTGTTTAATGGCATAGGGACGCTCGCTTGGAGAAAGCCGGGTATCCCAACACAAGTTGAAGTACAGGGTATGTAAGCTAGTGCAGCTGCCTGCGACGGCGGGCATCCTCGAGTTTCTTGAGATATTTGGCAGTCATGCTGAGGATGGAGGGTTCCTCCACATCAGGCAAATTATCGAAATCGTCATCATCCAGCTTATTGTGATCCATGCTGAGTGGTGGTGCAGGTGTCGTCATGGACGGACTGCTGTGGTTGCTGTTCGACGTTGTGCTCTTCACCTGGTTCTCCCGATGAATGGGCATTACAGTGATTTTCTGTGACTTGGTCCTGGACCTCCTGGTCAGCTGATCGTCGGGGGCGAAGGTCACATGGTCCTTGGTGGGATTAGGCTTCTTGCTGCGACCACGTTTGAGACTGGAGAATCTCAGCGAGCTAACTGATTCGTCTGGGGCGGCAGTCGCAGCTCCCTTCTGATCGGTATCCCTCTTCCTTCCCACTGAGCTACTGCGTCCCGCCAACGGCTCGCTGACCAGGTGGTAGTCCAGAATTTGGCCCACTCGCTTCTCCACCATTCGATTGACGGTGGCATTCAACTGCTGCATCTTCTCGTCCACCACCTCGTTGACCGCCGTCCTGATGGCATCATATATGTCATTCATGTACTTGGAACGCGCATTTTCCGACTGGGAGCGGGGCCTCAGCTTGTCCAGCGCATCCTCGGTGATCAGTGCGAATCGCAGCTTGGTTGCCTTCGACATCTTTACTTTGTAAATTTGTTTGCTGTGAATTTGGTTTGTTGCTAGAGGGAGAAAAATGTGAACTGAACTACTCTGTGACTCTTTTGGCTCTGAGTTAAGGCCCCAAGCAAATCCAACTGACAAAGCGTCGGCTGAACTCAAGGACTACTCTTTAGTACATTTTTACAGGGCTTCGATTTGGCTTGGAGTAGGCCTTGAGTGGTTTATTGTTTGGCCTTCGCTTATTTGTTTGCCAAGTTGACATGTGACAGGTCGAACTCATTGTTGGGCCGAAAAACAAAGGACGAGTGATTTCAATTAGGAGAGTTGAATAAGTCAGAGTTTCTGACCGTGTGACATTTCCATTTCCACTTCCTCGTTCCTTGTTCCTTTTATTTTTTTATTATTTTTATTCGGCTTTCGGCGAGTCCTTGCGCTGACATTTCAGCCCCTTTGCACTTCCTTTTGTGGGCACTTCAGGATGCGGATCTTGACATTGCTATCCCTCGAAGTCCTGCGAGCAGCCAGATGTCAGGCCCGAATGAAAAATGATAATTTCCTGGCGGTTACCTGGCCGGGATTAACGCGATTTACCCGAAGGGGTTACGCGATCCGAAGATGTCCCACCAACGTGTCCCATTTCCATGTCGCGTTCCCAGGTAAAAACGCACTCCATGCGCCGTACCAACGTACCAACCCCTTTGCTTTGCCAGGACTTAGGGAAGCGCCTATTTAACCCCTTTTTCAAGCGCGGAGTAGCCAAATCCGCGAGTCATCCGCATTCATTCACCTTCACATCCGATCGGCTGCCGCGTAGATCGGATGGACGCGTTATCGCTCTACGCTATCGGTGCTCCTCGATCGGATTTGCGCTTTTCGAAGTCCTCGATCCGGTGGACGCACCGATCCAGTCAAGTGGTCCCGCCGAAGTGCCATCAATTAGCCCATTCCCATTGTCGCCCCTTCGATAGAGATCGCAGATATGGCCACGCTTCGGGGGTTTGCCAGCTTTGAAGTGGGATACTCACTGCTACTATCACAATTTCCATCAGAAGCCTTCAATTCGACTCTGCTAAATCGTGTGATTTACCCATATACCAAATAACACATAAAACATAGAGCAGCCTTGTGTTATCAGCTCAGTCTTTCAAACTAGAAACTAGCCGGATGGAATTACGAGTTGAGTATTCCGGTTATGGGCAAGTTATAGACTTCCAGTGCTAAAATTAGCCATTAGCTGAAGGGGTGGGTGGGCAGAACAGCCCCAATCCCACTTTCAAGAGCTTGGAGGCCCTCGATTGTCTTCGCCTCCCCCTTTCAGTGTGTGCTTTTCCATGTCGTCCTGTCCTGCTTGATATCGCAGCCAGGCATTTATAAGTGTAATTGTATAAAAGCCGGCTGAGCGGCTGAGCGGCTGGTGGGAGTGGGCTGTCCCACTCCAAGGACACCGGCTGCATGGGGTTGAATGGCAATGGCCGCTTCAGGTCCGTTCGATGTCCGGGGTCCAGGCGCTTCCAGCTTTCTGGTCGCTGTTAGCTAGCCATTAGGGGTGGACTTTTCGATTTCATTGGAAAACGTAACCAAACGAAACGAAACGAAACGTAACGCAGGACATTCGGGGCTCGCAGGACCTGTGCGGGATAGCTGGCTGGTCAAACGGGTGCGAGCGGGAAGGCAGACGAGCCAGACAAGGCAGACAAGTCAGACAAGGTGAAATATGTGCGATTTCAATCCACGAACAGCTACAAAACTGGCAGCCACTTCAGCTCCGTGGGCCGTCCATCACGGGCCACCAACACTTACGACCAGCGCGCACAATGTCCTTCGAGTCCTTCGAAAAAGGTGGGTCAAAAGTAGGGAAACAGAAGGCGAGCGAGTCCAGCTTAGGCAGTGCGCAAAAATATATATAATGTGCATTTATCTGAATCTAAGTGCAGCTTGCAACCACCTCTTGCAACACATTGCAGCGAACCTGAATGTCTTTAAGGCGTAGATGTATAGATACATCAATTTTCGTGAATTTGCGCCACCCGTTTCTTTCCGTGTGGCTGTGGGCTTGCCTTTAAGCGCTCCAACAAAGGGGTCAATAAGGGGGGCTTTAACGACTGTAACCCCTTAGCCCACCCCTTTACCACCAACACAACCACCCCCTCCCCCTCCCCCTCCCCCGCTGCCTAGCCCATTTGTGGACTGTGCTCGCATTCAACCCCCTCAGCAGATTGACTTTTATGTTGATAACTCTGATGTCGTTCCGTTTCTGCTGCCCCGCGACCAACACAACCCCCGCCCCCGACCGTTCCTCTCATCTGCCACCCCCTACCCCGCCCCTGCCGCATTCGCTTGTGTGTGTGTGTGTGTGTGTGCTGTACAAGTTGTCCACTACAGAAGCGAACTCGCCGCTGGCTTTCCACTCACCCCTCAAGTGGCCATTTTGAATTTTGGCCATTTCCCTTAGCATTCCCCTTGGACATTGCCACCTTCAAGCCCACGCCTTTCCTGCTCCTGGCAGTCGCACGCCTCCTCCTCAGGAACCTCCCACTTATCCACCTCCAGTCCGTCGCGGGATCCTCCTCTTCCCTGTTGCCGCTTCATTGATTGAGGTAACTTTTGGGGCGACTTAGAGCGCGCTCATTCAGCTGACCATCTTCGATTTAATGCTACACAGCGAAAACTTGCCACCAAATAACAGGTATTCCATTATTATCGCCCGTGAATAACTGCGATTGTATATAGAATGTATTTATATTAAATATGTCAGTGTTTATATCAATTTATATGTATTTATTAGCTTAGATGGCAAAGTAAAGGACTACATTTCTGCCATATAGATTCTTCTGAGCGAGTACTTCAATATGGAACCATATAATATATTCTAACTGATTATAATATATTTTTATTAAATATGTCAGTGCTTATATCAATATTTATATATTATATATATTTAAATTTATATTATATTATATTTATATTTATATATTAGTTTAGATGGCAAGGTAAAGGACTACATTTCTGTAATTTAGAATTCTAACGCATTAGAATATATTTTTATTAAATACTTCAATGCTTATAACCATTTATATTTATGTATTAGTTTAGATGGCCAAGTAAATGTATATATTAGCGTCTTCTGAGCGAGTACTTCAATGTGGACTAACGTGTACATTATGCTCGGAGCATAACTCCTTCCGAACTGCCACTTAAGTCGCTTGTCAGGTGTGGGTGGCAAATCCGTAAATTAGTTGCCTCCCCCAATAATACGGGTCTAAGCTGGCGCTCTGCGTTGCCTCTTGCTACTTGCCTCTTGCCACTCGCCTCTTGCCTCACATACGTCTCCATTCGGTCCGGTTTCTGGTCTGCACTCCGGACTCAGGACTCAGGACTGCGGACTGCGGACTCCGGACTGCGGACTCCGGTCTTATCCCATCGACTTGACGATGTTTTTATGATGCCCAAGACAGGAGCTCGTGCTCGTTGTTCGCCTGGCCGTATTAAGACAAAAGGTTAAATTTAAATTTGAAATGATGAAGGGGTTGGTTTCAAAGGCGGCGAGTGTGGGTGTTTCCAGCTTCCAGCTTCCAGGTTCGAGCATCACGTCCACATTCGCTGGCTGCGTGCTCCAAGCGCCCTGGCCATACATTGCAATATGGCTGCCCCTTTGGCTTACCAAAAGCCCCTGTTCTCCACCCCTGACCCCTGACCCCTGACCCCCCCACTCCCACGCTGCCCAAGAAAAAGCGAAGCTGCGGAGCATATTGTTGCCTCGGAATTGGATTGTTGGGTTAGGTGTAAGGTGTGGCAGATGGTGTGGATTTTCCTCTGACCGTGTGTGTCTGTGTGCTCTGGCCAAAAGCGGAGTCAACCCGAAGACCTTTGCCCCAATCCCCAATCCCCGCCGCTCTATAGCCAACCATCTGTGTGGGTGGCAAGTTGCCGAGTGGCTCGATGGCAGGAAGGAGCGAAAGAAACTTCCAGCCAAAGGCTGCAGACGTGGGCAGGATAACTCGGCGGTGGGCTAGGGATCCTGCGGGCTGAGGGGGGCACTTGCGGAACGGCAGGGGTGTGGGCGAAGTGGGGTTAAATCAATAATCAATAACCATATCCAAGCCGAGACAATTAAGAACTGAATATATCTCCAAGTATGCGATAAGTAAAAACATGATCCCCCTCACAAAAGGCGGCGACTACGCCTGTGAGGGCTGAAAAACTGGGTATAGGTGGATTCGGCGTATGCTAATGGACATTCGAGATTTTGGTTTTGGGTATTTTGAGCAGTTCAGCTCCTGTTTAGTCGGTCTTCGGCCGAGCTCGGGGAAAAGCCGATAAGTACGCTTTATGCCCTTAGAATGCTACGTGTGCGCCTTGAAAAATGGGGGAATTCGGGGGGTTACGACTGGACTGGGCTCATGATACTCATTTTGTGATTGTGTGATGATGGATGGGACATGTGTCGGTGGGCTGGGAGGGGGCGGGGTTCCTTGCTCCTTGCTCTTGCCCGGAATGCCGATGGCTGAATGAATGGATGCCCAAAAGGACATGGCGCGAGAAGGAGAGTGGGAAAGTGGGAGTGTGGGCGATTTGGGAGGCCAAGGGCCAGTTGCATTTGTCCTTGTGCTATTGAGCGTGAGCTCTCCTGCTCACTGGAGTGTGCCGGAAAAAGGATTCGAACGATTTAGCATTCGGAATAAGTTGTCCGGATCTCGGGGCCCGGATCCCTGGAACCCGGATCCTTTGGCATCTGTTTGTTTGCATTCCACTCACCTGATACCCACACATCCACATAGCCCACTCCATTTTTGGGTCGACCATTAGATCCATGAAATATGCATGCTGGATAAACATAATTCGGGGCATGCGAGTAAATACTTTTGTCAAGATTTGACCATGATTGAGTGCGACTTTGGGGTCCTGCAGGTCCTGCGAAAAGGTTAACTAGCCATAATTTATACGCTCGATTGGATTTCGCATTTGTATCTTCATTGTTTGGCCCCAAAACTTTTGGCAATTGGGGTCCACTATTTGAATAGGCAATGCGAGATCGTAAAGTTCCAGAGTGACTTACTGTGCACAACTGGCTTGCAATATAAATTGTGGTCAACAATTTAATAACCCATAACACGAGATGGTCGCCTCTCATTAAGAACTTTTATTTGCAGGCACCTACTCCAGATGCCAAATCTTTGCCTTTAAAGTTGACACCCATTCCGCAGT